GAAAAATGAAGTTTCTTTTAGCACGGATAATGTTGTCTTCAAACAAAGTAATGACTGATTTGTTCAAGATAATGCCAGAATTGTTCATAAAAATATTGTTAGAAACAAAGTAAAGAGTATTGAACTACTACGTGATATCTGTCCTCCTGTATGGCAGCGAATACTGGACAATCTCCTCAAAGATGAAGAAAGAGACTTGAAGCAACAGAAATGTAGTTCTACAGAAAGATGCTGAGGATACAATGGACCGGACATTTGAGCAACGAGGAAGTTTTCGAAAAAATGGAAACAAAAGAATACTCAAAAAGAAATAGCTGACATTTCTGGGATACGTAATGAGGACGATGGGCTTGGAAAATTTGAAACTCACAAGACAGATTCAGGGAAAGATGTACAGAGGAAAGCAGTGCGAATTGTACTTGATGAGCTTGACTAAATGAATGGTAGAACATGGTTTGGGAGAAATAACAAAATGACAAAATTTATTAAGCGCTACAGGTGGAAGGAAGATGTGGAGGGCCATGTTTGCTTAGGTTCTGAAGGGACACGAAAAATGAAAGAAGATTTTTCTTTGTAGCTCCTTTCAACGTTTGTCTTTCTGCCATCCTTCCAATCCACATCTGTTCACCACCCTTCACAAAAGCGCGTCAGGTAGCCTTGTTTAACATTTAGGAACGCGACTATAAATTAGTGGACCCGGTTTCAAATCTCACTAAGATCGATTTGTCAGGAAATTGAATTCTTGATAATATCGCCGGAGAGGATCCTAGCGTGCGGAAGAGTGGGGAAATGTCAAGTTAGCCAAAGTCTTGTGCGTGGAATGAGGTAGATGCAGGAGTTCGAGACACATCGATGGTTGTGCTAGCATAAAATCACAAGTCACTGTGACCGAGGTTTGACTGTACTCAAGTTGTTAAAAATTGGTAATCACACCAGATTATACATTCTCTCCTGGAAACTGATGCCAAAATCTGCTCAGAGTAATAGCAGTTTCAACCAAAAGTTAGCTTTGTGAGTGTTGAAGTCACAAAAAAGTGCCTGAGTAGGCGTCTGTACCAGGGATTTGCTCGCTACCGCAGCAGACCGCCATACTCAGATAATTAGTAATAAGCGTGTCTGTCATGTGTCAGTAGATTATGAGTAAATCTCGAAATACTTCAGTATTTAAAGTGACTTAATTTTCTCTACATGTCAACATCTCAAACTTCAACTTATTATATAACATTATAAAAGAGTTATTTCCCTTTGTTGCAATACGCCACTCGACAGATATTATCTGTCCGATAAACAAAAAAATCCAAATTGACCCGATTGTGTCTTTTTTTTTTTTTTTTTTTGATCAAGTTCACCCAAAGCAAGGTAGTAAAGCCACTAAGACACAAGGGGTTACTGGGTGTGGAAGAATTAGAGAACGGAAATATCTCCTAGACCAAAAGAAGAGTAATCAGGAGAACAGTAAATAGCGATTGTCATTGCATTTAGATTTTTGAAGATTAAAGTTGTCTGGAAATCATGGAGCCAGAATGGGGTGCCAGAGGCGAGAATTCGAGAAAATAAGGTATTAGCATAGGAGTTCTAGAAAAAAAAATGGGATTGAATTTTAACCTAAAATATAAAATCCAACAAACTTTTGGATACGATTTTAGACGAGAAAAAAAACTGCGCCTTATACACAGACAATTACGGTAATGATAATGCAAGCAGTTGTCTTGAATAGTATTCCTCCTTAATCTTAACGATGTCCTTGGCAGCATTCAAGATATTTCTTTTCTGAAAACGAAGATTATTTTTTTTTCCCGACGCATAGAACTTTAATCAATATTTCCGACTTGTTTATGTTCTCGATTTTTCACCATTTCTTGAACACCGGATATATTCATTCCACCGGAAGCTATCTTTACTCTGAACTAATGTTTGGGTCAAAAGAATTTATTTCTATGTTTCAATACCAAAGAGAGTTTCATTTGGCTTCTGTTTTCTCTCCGATTACCTTCCGTTGAAACCTTTTAACTGGAGCCATGCAATTAAATCGATTTTAACAGGAACTATAGATAATTACTTTTCTAACAATCCTATTATCGAATGATATCTATAAGATGCGATGAAATTGTGGGCTGCCGGATCCAACCTACAACGTACATTTTATCAGAAGTATAACCACGCAAATGTGTGCACAATTATTGGCAAGTTATTTTCAGAGTTAATTGTAATTCATTTTCTATTGTTCTCTCTTAATAATATTTCCTTTTTCTCATATTATCTCAGTAAGCTCTTGTATTTTAGTCGCTTTATGGTCTTGCTTGGGGTGAAATCTACATATAAAATTCTGTAACTTCCGTTAGTCCGTCCTTCACACCCTCTAAAACAGCCATACATTTAACTACGAAACCATATATTGGAGAGAAATGTAAATAGGTAAGGATGTACAAGTACAGTTGGTTTTACTAAAGAGCGTAGCTTACGACAATAAGTTTTTGATAAATAATTTTAGAAAAATTGAAAGTTATTATTTAACATACAAAATGCTCCCACTATATTAAAATCAATGCAGTGATCAAAATAATAAATAGTTATTTAATAAAAATGCAATGTTGCTTTTTAATTATCTTTTCTTTAAGTATTTATACACAAGAATCCCGTTTGCAGTTCGCCCTGCGTTTGCGAGAACTATAAACAAATCTCAAGGCTAAACGCTTTAAAATATTGAAATTACGCTTCGGAAAAAATATTTACGCATGGCCAGTTGTAAATTGCATGCTCAAGAGTAAGAAATCCTAAAAATTTAGTCTTCGCTGTTAAAAAGGAAAAAAAGAAATTTTCTTAAAAAATATTGTTTGTCATGAAGTCCTATACAATTAAATTAAATTAAAGAATTTATTAAACCGCAAAATAGGGTTTTTGTCAAAGTATTTTTCCAAACAAATCAGCTTATTCAAATTCCATCGATTGGTTTGCGAAATTGAATGAAACGTAGAGTTTGTAAATCTTGACAAAAAATCTTAGCCATAACTTCAACAATATTAAATA